TCTTGGAGGAAACATTGTGCAATTGAGGTCCCTCCCGGACCCCGGCGGGACGGGCCGAAGCCACAGGGGGAGTTCTTTTGGAAAAAGAACCAAAACCAAAAACGAGAGGGTCCAGCACGCCAGGCACCCCTGCGATGAATCGACAGGGGGGGGCGGATCGAAGACGCCTACGGCGAATCACCGCCGCCCCCTGCCTTTTTGGAAGCACCTATGTGGCCGAACGTTGAGGCCAGACCTGCCAAGATATCGGACCATGTGTTCCCCGAATCGGTTTGGAAAGCCTTCGGGGAACACGTGGGCATCTTGAAGGTCATCTTGGCCGTCTGGAGGCCATGTTGACCCTTTCGGGCCTTCTTGGAGGACGTTTTGGAGGGCTCTTGGGCCGTCTCGGAGGCCATCTTGAGCGTCTTGGAGACCTCTTGGGCCGTCTTGGGGGTCTCTTGCGGCCGTCTTGAAGGACTCTTGGGCGATCTTTGGGGGCACTTGGGCCGTCTCGGGCCGTCCGAAGGCAGAAAAAAAGCAAATGCCACAGGCCTTCAAACACCCATGGGAAATCAATGACTCTGGCCTTTTCGGGACTTCCTGGAGGCCCTCTTGGAGGCCCCTTGGGCCGTCTTGGGCCATCTTAGTGCCATGTTCGGCCGTTTTGGTGGGCTCCTGGCCCGTCCGACGCCGTCGGAAGCCGTTTGGGGGGCCTCTCTGGGCCAACTTGGGGCCCTCTTGGAATGTTCCAGGGCCGTCTTGGAGGCCATCTTGGGCGTCTTAAAGGCCTCCTGTGCCGTCTTTGGGGCCTCTTGGGGCCGTCCGTCTTGGGGCCCTCTTGGGCCGTTCTGGGGCCATCTTGGAGGCCTCTTGGGCGATCTTTCGGCGATCTTTGGGGGCTCTTGGGCCGTCTCGGGCCGTCGGAAGGCCGAAAAGAAGGAAACGTCAAAGCCCGTCAAAAACCCTAGGAACATCAAGGTTTTTGGCCTCTTCTGGCCTTCCTGGAGGCCCTCTTGGGGGCCTCTTGGGCCGTCTTGGGCCAGCTTCGAGCCAACTTCGGCAATCTTGGTGGGTTCCTGGCACGTCTGACGCCGTCGGGAGCGTCTTGGGGGCCTTTCTGAGCCGACTTGGGGCCCTCTTGGGGCGCTTCGGGGCCCTCTCGGATGCCATCTTGGGCGTCTTGGAGGCAATCTTGGGCGTGTCGGAGGCCTCTTGGGCCGTCTTGGGGCCCTCTTGGGGCCGTCTTGGAGGCCACTTGGGCCGTCATGGGGCCCTCTTGGGGGCCTCTTGGGCGATCTTGGGGGCCTCTTGGGCCGTCTTGGGCCAGCTTCGAGCCAACTTCGGCAATCTTGGTGGGTTCCTGGCACGTCTGACGCCGTCGGGAGCATCTTGGGGGCCTTTCTGAGCCGATTTGGGGCCCTCTTGGGGCAATTCGGGGCCGTCTTGGAGGCCATCTTGGGCGTCTTGGAGGCCATCTTGGGTGTATTGGAGGCCTCTTGGGCCGTCTTGGGGCCCTCTTGGGGCCGTCTTGGAGGCCACTTGGGCCGTCATGGGGCCCTCTTGGGGGCCTCTTGGGCGATCTTGGGGGCCTCTTGGGCCGTCTTGAGCCGTCGGAATGCCGAGAGGAAGCACACGCCAAAATCTTTCAAACACCTAAGGACAATCAATGATTTTGGCCTCTTCGGGCCCTCCTGGAGGACCTCTTGGAGGCATCTTGGGCCGTCTTGGAGGCCTCTGGGGGGCATCTTGGGCCGTCGTGGGCCGTCTTGGACTCTCTTGGGCCGTCTTGCAGGCCGTCTTGGACCATCTTGGGCGGACTTGGAGGCCATCCTGGGCCATCTTCGCTATTTTGTTTAGGATGTCCCTAGCAAAACGGCCGTTTTTGGCGACGACAGGCGGGTTTTCTGGGTGGCCGGCGGGACGGGCCGAAGCCCCAGGTTTTTTTTTTTTTTTTTTTTTTTTTGAAAAAGAACCAGGCACCCCTGTTGCAAGCAACAGGGGGCGGCGGATCGAAGACGCCTACGCGAATCACCGCCGCCCCGTGCCTTTTTGGAAGCGCCTATGTGGCCGTACGTTGAGGTCAGACCTGCCAAGCTATCGCACCATGTGTTCCCCGAATCGGTTTGGAAAGCCTTCGGGGAACACGTGGGCATCTTGAAGGTCATCTTGGCCGTCTGGAGGCCATTTTGACCCTTTCGGACCTTCTTGGAGGACGGCTTGGAGGGCTCTTGGGCCGTCTCGGAGGCCATCTTGAGCGTCTTGGAGACCTCTTGGGCCGTCTTGGGGGTCTCTTGCGGCCGTCTTGAAGGACTCTTGGGCGATCTTTGGGGGCACTTGGGCCGTGTCGGGCCGTCCGAAGGCAGAAAAAAAGCAAATGCCACAATCCTTCACACACCAATGGGGAATCAATGAGTTTGGCTTTTTCTGGCCTTCCTGGAGGCCCTCTTGGAGGCCTCTTGGGCCGTCCTAGGCCAGGGCCATGTTCGGCCGTCCTGGTCCGTCCGACGCCGTCGGAAGCCGTTTTGGAGGCCTCTCTGGGCCGATTTGGGGCCCTCTTGGAATGCTCCAGGGCCGTCTTGGAGGCCATCTTGGGTGTCTTAAAGGCCTCCTGTGCCGTCTTTGGGGCCTCTTGGGGCCATGTTGGGGCCCTCTTGGGCTGTTCTGGGGCCATCTTGGAGGCCTCTTGGGCGATCTTTCGGCGATCTTTGGGGGCTTTTGGGCTATTGGGCCGTCTCGGGCCGTCGGAAGGCCTTGGGCCAGCTTCGAGCCAACTTCGGCAATCTTGGTGGGTTCCTGGCACGTCTGACGCCGTCGGGAGCGTCTTGGGGGCCTTCTGGGCCGACTTGGGGCCCTCTTGGGGCGCTTCGAGGCCGTCTTGGAGGCCATCTTGGGCGTCTTGGAGGCCATCTTGGGTGTATTGGAGGCCTCTTGGGCCGTCTTGGGGCCCTCTTGGGGCCGTCTTGGAGGCCACTTGGGCCGTCATGGGGCCCTCTTGGGGGCCTCTTGGGCGATCTTGGGGGCCTCTTGGGCCGTCTTGGGTCGTCGGAATGCCGAGAGGAAGCAAATGCCAACATCCTTCAAACACCTAAGGAAATCTATGATTGTGGCCTCTTCGGGCCCTCCTGGAGGACCTCTTGGAGACCTATTGGGCCGTCTTGGAGGCCGTTGAGGATGTCCCTAGCGAAACGGCAGTTTTGGGGCACGACGGACGCGTTTTGAGCGCCTTTCCGGGTGGCCGGCGGGACGGGCCGAAGCCCCAGGGTGAGTTCTTTTGGAAAAAGAACCAAAACCAAAAGCAATATCATCCAGCACGCCAGGCACCTTTTGATAAATCAAAAGGGGACGGCGGATCCCAGTGGCCTTTGGCTCATCCCGCCACCGTGCCTGGGTTGTGGGTCTGAGGCCTCTTGTACATGTGTTGGGGTGTCGTGGGGAGCCTCTCGGATGCCTCTTGAAGGCGGTTTGGGCGCCTCTAGGGGCCTCTTGGGGCCTCGCTGGGTATCTTTTGGGCTTCTTGGAGGCCTCTCGGGCGCGTCTTGGGCGCCTCTTGGGGCTTCTTGTAGCAGCAGATCGTGGCCTCGGGGGCGCGAATGTGGCGCGATTTGCGGGGGATCGTGGCTTCGGGGGCGCGAATGTGATGTAATTTGCGCGGGATCGTGGCCTCGGGAGCGCGAATGTGGTGTATTTCAATGGAGATCTCGGGGGCGCGGAAGTGGCCTGATTTACAAGGGATCGTAACCTCGGGGGCGCGATTGCAGTATGATTTACGAGTGATCGTGGCCCCAGAGGCGAGGATGTGGCGTAATTTTTGGGGGATCGTGTACATTTCACAAAAAGGGATCGTGGCTTCGGGGACGCGAGCGCAGTGTAATTTACGCAGGATCTTGGCCTCGGGGGCGCGAACACCAGAAATTCAGAGCACGCGATTCGGGGACGCTAACGAGGGTCCTTTTCGGCTCCCCCCCCCTCGCGCGGAGAGTAACGATTTACAGTAGGAAGCAGAAAGCAAGATTGTAACATTGGAAACTGGAAACTAGAACTGGCGCAGGGAGCAGCACACCTAAGCCTCTCAGTCTGATGGCCCCGCACGGGGGCCGGCGGATTATACGGAAGAGTCAGTCTTGGGGTAACTCAATCAGGAGGGGTAACAACACACAGACACAACTAATCGTCGCTCTCCGGGAAAATAAGGGAGAACATGGGAAGTGGGGGGGAAGACGAACACCTAAAAGATATAACCAACAAATATGGGGAACCCTGGGATTTGTGTCTGTTCATTTGTGTGTCCCAGGGCCCCTTCACAGATCAATTCTGCAGGCGATCCCCTACCTGAAGGCCCCTCGCCCCGCTCAGGTCCCGCCCCCCCTCGACCGCCAGAACGCGCGCAGCCGCGGCCCCCTTCCGAGCCGCGGCCCCGCAGCGCGACCCACCAGGAGACCCTCCTCCGAAGAAGAAAAACGCCATGAGCAGAAATGCTCGGCGCTCCGCGCCGATTTCCTGTATCCGCCCCAGGCGCCAGGGGCGGCGCCGGACAGCTCATGTTTATGGCCTTTCTGTTCTTTTTGTAATATTTGGAAGAGCGTTCTTCCGGACGAACAACTCGTCCGGATGAACTTGCCGAGGGTCGCCCCGCCAGGCCCCAGGGTCGGGCTGGGAAATAGACACAGACACAGCTGCACGTCGATTCCAATGAAGCTATGCGAGGTGGTGCAGGGGGGAGGAGAAAATCCAGAAGATGTGTGAAAGTATACGGTCGAGCATCCGATTAAGAAACCAATTTCCGGAAAGCTGGGCCAGAGCCTCTTCACCAGCTTGCTGGGAAGTTGGCCCAGTTTCTTGAGCTCCTTCGCTCCTCCAGCGTCAACAGCAGAACTTGGCCCATGTTCTGTTGGAGAAACTTCCAGGAAGCTGGTCCAGATGTCTTCACTGATCATGTTCTTGATCATGGATTCGTCTGTAGGGAATCCTGGGACTTGTGTCTCATTGTGTGTGTGTGTCCCTGGGCCCCTCCTGGGCAGCGTGATCACCCACATGCTCCTGAGCGGCCGCCCGCCGTTCGGGACCTTCGCGGACGACGACGCGGACATCTACGACAGGGCGCGCATGGGGGCGCCGCTCGGGCCGGCCTCTGCGCTGCTCCGCTCCTCTGCGCGGCGTCAGAACTTTGGAGCCGTCTAGGGGTCCGAGGTGGCTCAGCACTGGTTTCGCCTGGCAGGGAGGGTGGGCAGGTCCGCCGAGGTTTGGGGTTCGGGGAGGTTTTGAATCTTTTTCGGCCTCGGGAGGCCGTTTTCGGGCCCCGGGACCGTGAAAAGGGGATACGAATGCAAAAACTGCAACAGATGGGCCGCGGGAGGAGTCGGGGGGGGCGATTTTGAGCGGATTTGGACCCCCCCACAAACCCCTCCTGACCGATGTCCTTGAAGGGGCCCTGAGGCACACAAATAAATACACACAAATAAAAGGATCCCCCATACTTTCCTATATTTTCTGGGTTTCTGTCTTCCCCCCCACTTCCCATATTTTCTAATATTTTCTAAGGAATCGACGATTCATTGTGTCTGTGTGTTTCTTTCCCTCCTGATTCCTGGGGTCCTGACCAGTTCAGGTCCCGTGGCCGCCGCCCGGTCAAAACTAGTTGGGGCGTCATCGTGGCGTGCAACTGCCGTGGAAGTGGAACGGGAGTGCCTGAGGTCCACGGAGGCCCGCAGAGGCCCCTGGAGGTGCAAAGGAGGAGCCCTCCTCCTCCTCCTCCTCCTCCTCCTCCTCCTCCTCCTCCTCCTCCTCAGGTCGTCCTCTACCTTACTCTTCGCTCTCGTTCGGATTCGGGCGAATGGATCCTTTGCCAATCGTGGTCTCGAACATGTGTGCAATAGTTGCAGCAATCGCTCGTGCGAGATACGCCCGTCGCACAATATCAGCACGTGGCTGCCACGCGCCTGGCGCCACAGGATGAACTACTACATTCAAGATCCCTTTTGCCCAGCACCACCTCATCACTTGGCTCGGACGACACCTGGGCCATCGCGTCGTGCAAAAGCGGCACACGACAATCGACAAAATCGACAAGCGACAAAATCGACAAACGACGAACGACAAATCGACAAACTTGTCTGTTTTCGTATGTTGTCGCCGTTCTCGGCCCCCGATGGGCCCTCGCGGGGCCCCGCGGCCCGTGGTCAAGACGGCTCGGGGTGCAAACCGGGTCCGAGGGAGTGGGTCGATACCTCTGGGGGTCCCCGTCGTCGAGACCCCATCATTCGGCTCGGGGGGGCGGGGGGGGGAGGGGCGGGGGGGAGGAGACGGGGAGCGGAGCAGAGGAGGAGAAGGAGGGGGAGGAGGAGGGCGAGGAGGAGGAGGAGGAGGAGGAGGAGGAGGAGGAGGAGGAGGAGGAGAATGAGGAGGAGGAGGAGGAGGAGGGGGAGGAGACGGAACACATGCATGGACATGAGTTTTCGGAGTTCCGCGCGGATCTCTTGGAGCGGCGCCTGGGCCCCCCTGCGGCGCCTCCCGCGCAGTCCCTGGCGCGCTCCGCACGCCTGGGATCGAGGCCCAGCGTCGATCCGAGAATTCCGCGCGGACCTACGCGCGCGCGCGCACCGAGAAATCTCGTAGTGCATGCGTCGTGGCGGGCGCTTTCTGGCCGCACCGCTCGGGAAACGATGTACCACAAGATGGGTAGATCAGATGTTCGGGTCGGACGCGCGCCTCCAAGGAGGACATCTAGTACTGGTATGTCTATGTGCCTCCCATACAAAAGGGGCCCCAAAGTGCAAATGTGAGGCCCGTTCCTTCACCCCCATTTGAGTCACCCCCCATTGCCGCCTGCCCGACCTGCGCCTCCACCCCGACCGCCACCCCGACCGCCGGCCCTTTTTTGTGGAAACCGCGGAAGGTGCCCAGGCTTCGCGTGATTGATCTCCCGGGTGCTTTCTGCTGAGCTGCGCTCGAGGGCCCTCGGCGAGAACGTGATACAGCTGGGCGAGGCCAGAGTGTCTAGGGCAGGCAAACAAAAACATGTAAAAAAGCAACACACACAAAGAACATAAACAAAAGAGTGTCTAGGGCAGGCGGTGCGGGTGGTCGAGGCCCTTTGTGCTCCACCGACCCTCCCAGAGCTATATTGGCAGCGACATCTTGAGCAGCGGCCCCCCTCCGCGCGAGGGACGACCTGGATAGAGTATCCCTTGCCTTGTGGACAGAACTTGCCTGGTTACGAGACCGTGTCGGGTGTTTCGATGTTTGGGGGGTGCAGCCTCCGGGCGTGGGCAGGCGGTGGCTGCCGGGTGATGCCGAACGATGCCGTCGACGATTCATCGGTGATGTGTCGCCGATTCCAGGTCAATAGTTCCCCTCCCTGCGCCGAAAAAAAACATTGCTCAAGTGCGCGTCACACGGCTTATTGATTGATTGATTGACCTACGCCCATAATCGCCAGTCCCCCCCCCTTTGTCGTTGCCCTTCGGCTGGCGGCGAGAGCGGCAGCGGGGGCGGGGGTGTGCCCCAGGCTGCCCCCGAGGGGCCTCAGTGGCCCCTTCGGGGGCCCCCGAACGGGGTGGTGACCACACCGTGTGGTGAGTCGGTGGGGATACGGGGCCACCGCACGGTTTTGGGTCTTGGGTCATTCTCCGAGGATGTCTTGGGCGATTGGGGCTTCCAGGGTCCGAAGACCGTGTGGTGACGGACCCTGCGGTGCCTGCGGTGAGGTCTTTGCGGATTTCGAGGTCACCGCCGGGTCCGTCACCACGCGGTTTTGGGACCCCCGGCCCCTGCTTGGCGGCGGGCCCGCAGATGCGGAGGCTCGAGCATGTCGAGCCTGAGGACTTTCAGCATTTGCGCCCGAGGACGCAAACGCTTCCTGAACAAATGAACCTTCGGCGCTCCGCGCGGATCTCTGGGACCTCCGGCACGAAGGAAATGGGTACGGAAAGATTGGGTACAATGCCCAGCAGCGGTTCCTGTTCATTTTGAACAGGACTCGCTGTCGGTGTCGCCGCGGCCTGTGCACATTTGAGACAGACGGCCGCCTGCCCAACAGCGGCCGCTGTTGGTTTGGGACCTGGCGGCGGCGCCTCTGGCGCGTTCCGCGCGCCATTGGCGAGGGAGGGGGAGCCGCAGCGCCGAGCCAAGAACTCCGCGCGGGGTCCTCCGACAGTATCTACTCATGCCTTCTTCTCTTCCTCCCAGAGGGGGGGGATAGAGAATGGTGGGCCGCAGCGCCGATCCGAGAACTCCGCGCGGATCTCCAAAAGTTTATGTTCACGATTTCTTTTCTTACTCTTAGGGGGGGCCGCAGCGCTGATCCAAGAACTCCGCGTGGTCCTCCGACAGTTTCTGCTCATGCCTTCTTTTCTTCCTCTTAGAGAGAGGGGGGGATAGGGAAAGGTGGGCCGCAGCGCCGATCCAAGAACTCCGCACGGATCTCCGAAAGTTTCTGTTCATGCCTTCTTTTCTTCCTCGTGGAGAGGGGGGGATACGGAAAGGAGGGCCCCAGCGCCAATCCAAGAACTCCACGCGGATCTCCGAAAGTTTCTGTTCATGCCTTCTTTTTTGCCTCCTAGATTGGGCAAGGGAGGGCCCAGCGCCGATCCAAGAACTCCGCGTGGTCCCCCGAAAGCTTCTGTCCATGCCCTCTGTTCTTCCTCTTGGAGAGGGTGAGGCGGGGAATAGGGAAAGAGTAGGGCCCCAGCGCCGATGCATCGCCGATGCGGCTCGATGTTGAGGCCGATTATCTCGCCGACGGCGCCGATGCATCGCCGGTGCATCGGCGATACATCGCCGATGTATTGGCGATGTGGCGTGATCCTCCGACCCATTTACTCGGGTACTATCCAGGAGTCGTCTACGGGAGCGACCAGGGGTCCCTGCGATCTTGGCGTCGAATTTCTTTCACACCGGGCGTTTTCGTCCCATTTCAGGCCCTGGGACCCTCACATGTCGATCCGGCTCGAAAAGGACGCAGAAAGATGGGGTCCGGGGGTCCGGTAGTGGATTTCACGACGTGGAGGTCAGGGGAAGGGTGGGGTCGGGAGCCCCGAGATCGTCGTCACCCCAATATTCTAATATTATGCGTGCACGCGTCGCCACCCCCATGGGGGACGCGCGCGCGCCGAGAAATCTTGTAGTATAAGCTCCGTGGCGGCGCTTTCTGGCCATACCGCTCGGGAAACAATGTACTACAAGATGGTTACACTAGATGTCCGGCTCGGGGCTCGGACGCACGCCTCCAAGGAGGACACATAGTACTAGCATGTCCGTCTGTGTCCCATTGAGACGGGGGTCAGTGCAAACGGGGGCTCGGCCAGAGCGTCAGATCTCGCAGGATCCTGCAGGGCCAGGGGCGCACTGACCCGGGCTAGGACGCAGGATCCTGCAGGATCCTGCGGGCCTCTGCAGGATCTTGCAAAGCCTGACCGGCCAGAGTCTGCATCGACCCGGGCCAGTGCGTCCCCGATAAGGGGAGGGGGGGCGCTCAGGGCGCCGACTGGGGGTGCCCAGGGAGGGCCCGTTCTCAGATGGCGCCGGCGTGCATCGTGGCGTGACCAGGGGGGGGGGGCACGGCCAGACACGGGCGTCATCGCGAGCAACAAGAACATGGTCTCGAGACGCAAGGGCGGAAGAGCCACCCCGACCCCGACGAGTGGCGTTTATTACACGGCCCTGGGCGTGTACTGACGACCCCGGCCTGTTCGATTCCTTCCCCGGGTGCGTTTGCGAAACGGCTTCGCTTGTCGGGGTGCTTTTTTTTCGGAGGTTGATCGACCTCCTACCCTGACGCGTGGATTAGCGAATTGGCCGTTTTCGGTTCGCGAGAGGGCGTCGCGGCCGTCATTTTTATGGGTCCAGGTCCGTCGGTTTGGGTCCTAGGCCGTTTTCACGAAAGGGAGGTTTACTAGAGGGAGGTTTGTCCACCGCCGAATTTTACTTTATGGGGGTGGATTTTCTGCCCTCTAGAGAGGGTCGACAAGCCCAGAGCCCTGAGGGCTCAAACGCTCGGCGACTGCAAAGGGTGCGGTTATGCCGGGGGGTGGTTCGCGATCGGGGTCGTTGGGGCCTGGGGAGAACGCAACACTGTCCTCGTCGGGCCTTCTCGGGGCGCGGCGGAGAGCTCTGTCGAGGTGCTCGCCCGCCCCCAAAGGGTGCCCCCCAGGGTGCCGGCCGCAAACCACACCGAGCGCGCGTCACTACGCTGAGTAGTTCTGGACATCTTGCAGGCGGCGGAGGAGGAGGAGGAGGGTTGCAAACCACAACCTTCGGCGTCGCCGACGCGCACACCGAACATCGTCGGAGGTCGGCGTGTGTGCCCAGGGTCACCGGCAGGCCTGCAGGAAACGATGCCCGCGCTCTCTGCGCGCGGGGGGGGGGGGCGCGACGAATTACGTGAGAGCCCGCGGCCGCTCCCCGCCCGGAGGCGCCCGACGACTTGGTGGCGCGAGGCGAGGGACGAGAATCCATCGGGACGATCCAAGTCGGGATCCCGCCTATTAGGGGGGGCGTGCCCCGGGGGTGGTGGTGAGCTCGATCGGTGTTTGCACCGGACCGCCCACAACAGATGCCCCCCAGCCGCCGGCAGCTCCCGATAGTTGCCGACAGGTGGGGCATGCAGGGGGCATCTGTTTGCGGTAGTTTCACCTCATGCCCCCTTCAGTTTCACCCCTCGGTGGGCCCCGATAAAGTAAAAATGAAACAACGGGCCGCCGTGCGGAAAGAATGGGCACAAAGACGACATCATTTCCTGCTCATGTTGAACAGGGATCGCTGTCGGTGTCGCCGCGAACGTTGTCCATTTGAGACACAAGGCCGCCTGCCTCCCGAATTACACGTAGGCGTTCTCTAAGAAAACTTACGTTTTCGGCCAGAGTCTCGATGGTTCTTAATGTTTCAATGTAAATCCTAAGATTTTAATGGAAATTCTGGGTTTTTATTCAAATTCTGAGACTGAATTTCTTAACCAATGATTTCTTAAGCATTTCGCAGGGTGTAGGTTTTCGAGTGTTCGTCTGTTCTCAGCGGTTTCCCCGCCGATGGAGGCCTTCCAGCAGCTGCGCCTCGCCGAGCGGCGTCCAGGGGTGCCCGGATCCCGAACGGCCGTTGGAGGCCCGAGTTATGTCAGGAGGGGAAAAAAGCACACAGACACAATTAATCGTCGATTCCCCAGAAAATATGGGAAAATATGGGAAGTGGGGGGAAGACAAAAAGCCAGAATATGTGAAAATATGGGAATCCTTTTTATTTGTGTGTATTTATTTGTGTGTCCCAGGGCCCCTTCATTATGAACCCCTGGGAGAGGTCCAGGGGGTAGCAGTATCGGTACTTTTTGCTTCCCCAATCCACTGTGTACATATTTCTCCTCCAGCCCTCTCACTCGCTCTTCGTCCCGCTGGCGCACCACAGTGCGGCGTTCCAGAAGGGCCTCGCCTTGTGATCGCTTTCTTATTCATTGTTTTTTTCGATCGGCGCGGGGCCTCGCACCCCTCCTCCCCTCGCTCGCTCTCCGTCCCGCTGGCGCGCGCTGCACTCAACTGCAGGGCACTCTCCCGGGAGAGGGCCTCCCGCCTTCGAGGGGGCCGACAAAAGGAGCCGCCATGCCTCTTCCTCGGCGGGAGGTCGGCGGAAGCCGGCGGGAGTACAGCGCGAGGAGGGCTCCGCCGGCGGGGAAGCTGGCGACAGCGAACGATGCGTCCCCAAAAGATGCCACAATCTTGTGACTCAGGGTTTGGGTGCGTCCCCACAAGAGGACCACACGTTTCTGATTCCCGGCTCGTGGAGGTGGCCGCACATCTCCCTCTGCCCCTCTTCCCCGATTCCTTTCCCCCCTCGCTCCCTCTGCCCCTCGCTCATTATTCTCTCTCTCTCTCTCCCTCTCCCTCTCTTCCTCTTGCGCTCTCTCCCTCGAAGATCGGCGTGCGACCGGGACCGCTCAATCCCTCCACACCGGCGCAGATCATGAGTGGGGACGCGGTCACGATGGACGGGTCTGATTGGATGTTCGTGTCCGAGGAAGCGGGGGATACTTGACCAGGGAAGAGGAAGGGTGAACTACCCAGACATCTCGTGTCGTTAAATCAGGACGGATGGTTTTTGGTCGTTTTCGGCCTGTGGGGGCCCTCGCCGGGCCCCGGGACCGTCACCAAACGACTCGCGTTGAAAAAATGCCCCGAGGGAAGGTCGGGACTTCCGGGGACCCCGATTTGAAAAAATCTGGACGTCGCATGTCTGAGTACGTTGCGTTTTCGGGGGACCTCGTCTGTCCTCAAACATTTTTTTGTGCCTGATGCGGGTTCGATGCGGATTTGGCGTGGTGGTGACGTGGATTCGATGCGGGTTCGACGCGGATTCGACGCAGATTCGACGAGTTCGCCGTGTATTCGACGCGGATTCGATGCGGAAGACGGCGCGACGGGGGAGAAGGTAGAGGGGCGGGTGAGGGAGACTACGTAGGGAGACGGGGGGGAAAGGGGAAAGAGGAGGGAGGCGGAGAGATGAGGACGTAGGGATGGGGGCGAGAGGGAGGGCGAAAGAAGGAGGGGAGGGATCAGGGGAGGAGCGAGGAAAGAAGGAGGATGCACCATGGATCAGGGGTGAGGGAGCAAGGGGAGAGAGGATGGCAGGGAGGAGGGAGTGTTGGATAGAGATGTGAGGGAGGAACGATGAGGAGGAGGAGGAGGAGGAGGAGGAGGAGGAGGAGGAGGAGGAGGGGTGACCTCATAGCTCATGGCCATCGTCGTCGGCTCGTGCCTGGATTCTCGATAGTTGGTCCCCGATGCTGCATCCATCCCTCTTCACTGTCGTGCCACTAGAGGTGTCGTTTGAGCGTTTCGGCTGTTTCGCTTCAGACTGCCTGGCCGTCCACGGCCTTGAAGCTTGTGCTTGACAACAGCTCCACGAAGGGAGTTCGAATCGTGCTCAAGAGGGAGCTGTCTCCCCGGCTCCGCGCACATTCGTTTCCAAAAGCACGAGGGGAGGGGCGAATCGAATTGTGATCAGTTTCGAAACGGGGCTCTCACCCCGGAGCCGCGCACCCGTGCAGCTTCCGGCAGGCACACGGATCGAGGGGTTCATCGTTTTCAAAATTAGGTTCGTCTCACATGTTCCACCCGTTGACCGACCGTTGCGCGGCTGGACATGGTTTTCTTTTCACCAGATAGGGCACTTGCCAGATACTGCACCAACAATTACGACCACAGACATACAAGCTTGCAACAGTAAGGCGAACGGAGGTGGGTTCCCTTCCAGAATGGCGTTTTCGCGTGGGGCTTCGCTTGAAAGTATGACCAGAAGTCCAATCCATGTTCAACAGTTGCACAGATGGATGGCTTTTCCTTTTCAGAACGGGATTGCCGTTGGGAATTTCGCTGACGTTTTTGACCCAGCTTTGTCGCATTATTTATCCGTAAGGGCTTTGCCCACTGCCGACGGCCCCCCTCTCTATCGCAATGGGGTATGCAGGAGTTATGTTTGGATGCCTGGGCGCCGTCGTGAAGCAATATCCAAACCTCGTGCGAGGGTAATTTGGCAATATTGAAGACACGTTGAGATCCAGATGATATCGTTGAACTCTATGGTTTTTCCATACTTCCCTCCTGCTGTGCATTGGAGGCCCCATTGGAACGACTGGGGGCTGTTTGAGGGCACGTTGAGCAACATCTCGCGGCTTGAGAACGGTCCAGTCCCCGGTCTCCTCGGAGTATTCTACCAGGGACAGTGGCTTTGGGGACGCGAGCGTGGCGTACTTTAGAAGAGACCGTGGCCTCGGGGACACGAGCACGGCGTAATTCATTAGAGATCGCGGCATCGACGCGAACATTGCGTAATGTACGACAGATCGTGGCCTCGGGGGCACGCGCATAGCGATCGTTAGAGATCGCGGAATCGACGCGAACATTGCGTAATGTACGAAGGATCGTGGCCTTAGGGACACGAGCATAGCGATCGTGGTCGGGGGCGCGGATCTAGAGTAATTTACGAGGGATCGTGGCCAAGGGGGCGCGAATCCATTGTTTAAGTTGTGAGGGATCGTGGCCTCTGAGATGCAACAGACCATGGCCTCGGGGACGCGAATATACATAATTTACCATGGGTCGTGGCCTCGGAGACGCGAACATTCCATAATTTTCTAGGGATCGTTGCCTTTCGGGGGCAAATTTCAAGGAATTGACGAAGGATCTTGGTTTACGGTGTAAGGGGGACGCTCATACGGTGTAATTTGCGAAGGGTCGCGGACCCTGGGACGCGGATATTGAGCAATATGCGAAGGATCATGGTTTCGGAGACGTGAGTATCGCAGTTGGCAAAAAAGTCGTAGACTCGTGGCTGCGAACGTAGCGTAATGAACAAGGGGTCGTGGCCTCGGAGACGCGAACATTATGTAAACTATAGGGGATCGCGGGCTCGCGGACGCGAACACGGCGTAATTTACAATGGGTCGTGGCTTCGGATACACGGTTATTGTCAGAGTGAGGGGGCCGAACGGTCATTCATTGTCCCTGGGCGCGTGACTGAAGTGAGGTTCCGCAGCGCGGATCATTGTTGCGTTGTTTGTTGTTTGTTGTTTGTTGTCGTCGTCCCACCCGCGACCAATCCGCGACCCACCCGCGACCCGCCCGCGATCCCCCCCGCGACCCACCCGCGCCCCACCCGCGACCCGCCCGCGACCGGGCCCGCGACCCACCCGCGACCCACCCGCGTCCCACCCGCGACCAACCAACATTGCTTGAAAGTCTAAATCGGCGCCTGCGGTGGGCTCTGTGTATAATTTTTAAAAAATCGGCGCCCACGGAGAGCTTCTTCAGAGCCTCGCAGACCGCCGACGTTCCCGCCGCCCCCTCACTCTTACTCGCCACTGCGGGGTGCTACTTGAAATAAGCGTAGCACCTCGCCGCAGGCGCTGATTTTTACCTAACAGCGTAGATTGATAGGTTTCTAGTTGACTCAAAAGAGCTCACAGATCACTCCGCAGGAGGGTCCGGGCAGGCGTTTGGAGTTGCCGGCCGGGCCTGTGCCGGGCTCGTTTTTCACCAACAGTCACACACTTCGTGCTCGTCGACCTCTCAGAACCCCATTCCCAGGCCACATTCTGAATAACCGGATGCAACAGTCACACACTTGGTGCTCCTTGACCTCCCAGAACTCCATTCCCGGGCCACATTCTGAATGCCCGGAGCCAACTGTAGGCCACTTCGTGCTCTTCGAGTTCCCAGAACTCCATTCCCGGGCCACATTTTGAATGCCCGGAGCCAACTGTAGGCCACTTCGTGCTCTTCGAGTTCCCAGAACTCCATTCCCGGGCCACATTTTGAATGCCCGGAGCCAACTGTAGGCCACTTCGTGGTCTTCGAGTTCCCAGAACTCCATTCCCGGGCCAGATTTTGGATGCCCGGAGCCAACTGTAGGCCACTTCGTGGTCTTCGAGTTCCCAGAACTCCATTCCTGGGCATGAATTTGAATGCCCGGAGCCAACTGTAGGCCACTTCGTGTTCTTCGAGTTCCCAGAACTACATTCCCGGGCCACATTTTGAATGCTGAGGCAGGCTGAGGCTGAGGCTGAGGCAGGCTGATGCTGAGGCAGGCTGAGGCTGAGGCTGAGGCTGATGCAGGCTGAGGCTGAGGCAGCCTGAGGCTGACGCCGAGGCTGAAGGCAGACTGAGGCTGAGGCTGAAGCAGGCTGAGGCTGAGGCTGAGGCAGGCTGAGGCTGAGGCAGGCTGAGGCTGAGGCTGAGGCAGGCTGAGGCTGAGGCTGTGTCTGTGATTGCCGTTGCCACTGCGACTGTCATCGCGAATGCGACTACGACTGCGAGAACAGCACAATTCTACAACTGGATTCTCATCTGAATCTTAAGGGGAATGCTTCCAGATATGCTCCTACACATCGCTGTTAGGTTGCTTTGCCGGGATAATTTTGTTATAGCAATGTGGGTGGGTCGCGGGAGGGTCGCGGGCCAGGTCGCGGGCCGGGTCGTGGATGGGTCGCGGGTGATCGCGGGTGGGTCGCGCGTGGGTCGCGGGCGGGTCGCGGGATGGATCGCGGGTGGGTCGCCGGTGGGTCGCGGGCGGGATGACGACAACAAACAACAAACAACAAACAATGCTTAATCCGCACCGCGGACCTTCCTTTCAGCCACCACCGGGGACAGTGAATGACCGTTCGGCCCCCTCGCTCTGACATGGGGTCGTGACCTCGGGAACGCGAGCATGACGTGATTTACGAGGGGTCGTGGCCTCGGAGACGCGAATATTGCATAGTTTAGGAGGGGCCACTGCCCCGGGGACGCGAATATTCCATGGTGTATGGGGGATCGTGGCCGCGGGGACGCGTATATTCGGACATGGTCTAGGGATCGTGGCCTCGGAAATGCGAACACTGTGCATTATCATCATTAGTCGTACTATTTATAGTATGTTTCGTGTCGCATTGTGGTTCTTTGTAGTTGATATGAAAAGCATTAGTGTTGTATATGTAATGTTGTTGTCAGTGATAGATTTATTATCGTTGTTATGTCTTAGTGTTTTTGATGTTTTTTCTTCTTCATATTCTTCTTCTCATGACAATCATTATTCGTGCTACTATTACCATTACTCTTTCTAGTATGAGAAATAAAACGGTGCCTTGGGGGCGCGAATAGAGCCTCAATTACAATAGGTCGTGACCTCGGAGACGCGACCATTGTGCAATTTACCGGGAATCGTGGCCTTTGGGAGGTGACTAGAAAAGAAGTTGCGAATGATCTTGGTTTTAGGCTTCATCGGGTGTTCGCGAATACGGTGTAATTTGCAAAGGTCGGTGGATTCGGGGATGAGTATATAGCATAAGTTACAAACTAGTCGTGGCATCGTAGGTGCGTGTACGTCATAATTCGCAAGGGGTGTGGCTTCGGAGACGCGACACTTGTGGCATATTTTGGGGATCGTCGCCTATGGGAAGCGAACGTTGCGCAACTTACACGGGATTGTAGCTTCGGGGACGCGAACACGGTGTTATTTACAAGGGATCGGATCTTGGTCTCGGGAGCGCGAATACAGTAGAAGTTTCGAAGGGGTCTTGCCTCGGAGATGCCAATCTTGAGCAATGTACGGGAAATCGTGGCCTCGGGGACGCGACCATTGCGTCATTTACGAAGGATCGTGGCCTCGGGGATGCTACTATTCAGTCATCTACGAGGGATCGTGGCCTCGGGGATGCGAGCCTCGCGCGTGTTTCTACGCGCCCCAAGGCCCAAGGCTCCATAGGAATTCAGGCAAGGCGCTTCGGGGACGCTGGCCAGGACGGTTTGGGGCTCCTGCCTCTAGCGCGGGCAGTAACTGTCTTCAGCAGGAAGGAGAACGTCGGACTCTAACGTTGGAGACTTGACACTGGAACCGCAGCAGGGAGCAGCAGGCCTGACCCGCGCAGCCTGACGGCCCCACAGGGGGGCCCGCGGACAACTCGATGTTGGAGGGGGAGGAGGAGGAGCAGGAGGAGGAGGATGAGGAGGAGCAGGAGGAGGAGCAGGAGGAGGATAAGAAGGAAGAGGAGGAAGAGGAGGAGGAGGAGGAGGCGGGCTCGTGGGGATTGGCCCTTCAGTGGGGGGGGGGGCGCTTCGCGCAGTGAGAGAACTAGTCGGGCGAAGGGCCAAACCCCGCTGCAGCTGCGAGTAGCGCACGCTGTGGCCCTCGCCTCACAGGTTGCGCACCGCGAGAAGTATGGAGCTCGGGGCAACGCGGACGGGGACCACGAAACGTGTGTGTGTGTGTGTGTGTGTGTGTGTGTGTGTGTGTGTGTGTGTGTGTGTGTGTGTGTGTTTGTGTGTGTGTTTGTGTGTGTGACCAAATTGGGGGAAGCGGCGCATTACGAGCCTTGCCGCGGTGGGGCTCCCCATGGGGCCAAAAAAAGTGTCAGCAGTGTGCTGAACTGGGCGGGGGGAAGCCTTGCTAACCGTGCCATTTTGGCATGCGGTGGAGCTCCCCATGGGGCCACGAAGAATGCGAGGAGTTTGCCGAAATGAGCGTCGAGACGCCATGCGAACTCTGTGGGCCTTCGGTGAAGCTCCCCGCAGGGCCAGGAAACGCGCCAGTGGTGTTCCGACAATTGCGGGGGGGCGCCATGCGAATCCATTGGGCTTGCGGTGGGGCTCCCCATGTAGCCCCAAAATCGTGTGAGTAGTGTGTCGAACTAGACGGAGGTGAGCCTGGCGAGCAGTGCCATTTGGGCCCTTGGTGGAGCTCCTTTTGAAGCCACCTAACGTGCGAGGGGTGTGCCGAAATGTACAGCGTTCGCATGGCGTCCCCCTGCCTATTTCGGCACACCACTTTGCATTGGGCTAATGAGGAGGGGAACTGGGCTAGGAGCGTGTCGTGCAGCATCGTAGAAACATGCTGGACACATCCTGGTCCCCATCCTCCTCCATCCTCGTCCTCCTCGTCCTTCTCCTCGTCCTCTTGGTCATCCTGCCCTGTAAGCAATGCCATTACGCCGCCTGCCCACAGCTTTGTTTGGCTGTCTTGTGTTCTCGGTCGCGACCTTGCCCAAATTTGTTGTCTCGGCCGGTGCGGTGTCCTCGCTCCGTCCGTCGACACTGTTGAGGAGGTTGCCGTTGTATCCAAGACTTCTCACGATTTGGCTTCCGCCGAGCCCCGTGCCTCCCACAGCAGTTGACATCGGCAGTTCTGGCAGCACTGCGGTCGGTCAACCTGTGAGCGGCGGAAGCAAAATCTCACAGAAGAAGGCGCTCGCGGGCAGCCCAGGAACGGCACTTGGGAGGTGCTTGCGGCCAGCCCAGGCAACACATGCTGGTGGTCACAGCGGACGCCTGGCAAGGCACTTGGGGGGTGGGAGAGGAGGAGGAGGAGGAGGAGGAGGAGGAGGAGGAGGAGGAGCAGGAGGAGGAGGAGGAGGAGGAGGAGGAGGAGGCTGTCGCTGGGGAGCGGATGTCAGCATCTGTGCCGCCATTCGCGCGCAAGCTGCCCGTGTGAGGCCGCACGGCAGCGCCCCCCCGGTTCCAGTGCAGCGTGCCACGCTGGCGGCCTGCGTGAGCCACCGCGTGAGGTCACTATGTAATTGGGCGCAGCTGTATCGGGGATGCACCCGGTTCCCATGAGATTGTAAGGGGATTCCAGTAGGAAGCAAGTTGGAACCAGCTGGATCTGGGATCCGCCCGATTCTAGTGATATCTGCCAATTGGAGTCAGCTCGGTCTGTGATCTGCTCAATTCGAAATAGATTTTGATCCGATGTTTTAATCATCTCGCGCGAGAGCCGTTGTCACAGACCCTCGCGTCGCCACAGGCCCGTTGTGAGCCGGTCGGTCTCTTCCGCTTGTCGCCCCGTGGCCCCGCCGCCTGCTGTTCGGCACTCTCTCGGGCCCTCCGAAGACGCGAAGCCACGCCCAGATAAAACTCGTCGTCGTCGTCGACACGTGCTACCACCCGGCGACCCCGCCGCGAAGCCGCGCGAAGAGGCGCGGGGCTTCGTCTCGCGCCTACATCGTCGTCGTCGTCGTCGTCTTCGTCGTGATCGTGGTCGTCGCTGTCGTCGTCGTCGTCGTCGTCGTGATCGTGGTCGTCTTTGTCGTCGTCGTTGTCGTCGTCGTCGTCTCGCGCCGCCGCCCGGTGCTCCCGCGCCGAAGCCGCGCGAGGAGGCGCGGGATTTCGTCTCCCGCCTGCTCACGCGCGACCCCGTCGCGCGGCCCAGCGCCCAGGACGCTGCCAGCGAAGCCCAGCCCCAGACATCCAGCTCCTCGAACAGACCGAGACCCACACATGCTCGCGTCGTGAAAACACTACGACGGCATGTTTTTGAATGTTTTCGGCCTCTGGGGGCCCTCGCCAGTCCCCGGGACCGTCAACAAACGACTCAGGATGAAAAGCTGGCCCTGGGGAAAGAAGAAGGAGGAGGAAGAGGATGAGGAGGAGAGGGAGGAGGAGGTAGAGGAGGAGGAGGAAGAGGAGGAGGGAGCAGGGAGGAGGGAGGAGTAGGAGGGATGAGGGAGCAGGTTCAATATATTTGCTCCGAAGGTCCAAAAAACATTGTCTGAGGGTTCAATACAATTTCTTATGGTTCAAAAAATGTGTTCTGGTCCTAGGGTCGCGATCCGTGTAAGGGTTAAAATTGGTTGGTTCGTCGGTCGGTCGGTCGGTTGGTTGGTTGGTTGGTTGGTTGTTTGGCGGGTTGGCTGATGGGTTGGCTGGTTGGTTGGTTGGCTAGTTGGTTGGTTGGTTTGTTGGTTGGTTGGTTGCTAATTGGCTGGTTGGTTGTATGGTTGTTCGGTTGGTTGGTTGGTTGGTTGGTTGCTCGGTTGGTTGGTTGGTTGGTTTGGTGGTTGGTTGGTTGGTTAGTGTGTTGTTTGGTTGTTGGTTCGTTTTTTGCTGATTGGTTAGTTGGTTGGCCGGTAGGCCAGTTGGACGGTTGGCCGATGGGCCGTTTGGTTGGTAAAGTTGGTGCGTTGCCTGGTTGGTCGGTTGATTGGTCGGTCTTTTGGTTGGTTGGTTCGTCTGTTGGTTGGTTTGTTGGTTGATAGGTTGGCTACTTGCCCAGGTGGTTCGTCGGTGTTCGAGGGGTTGGACGTATTGACGGGTTGGAGAGTTGAAGCGGTGTTGCGTCGGAGGGGTGAGGAGGCAGTGGCGGGCTGACGCTCGAAAGTTTGAGCGTTCCTGGTGTGACATCCCCTCTGGGTTGCTCAAGGCCTTCTGGGACGCGTCGGGCAGTGTGACGGCGCGGATACGTATGACAACGACGACAATGACGATGATGTTGGCCGGTTATGCAGGCGATTCGGATGATGAGGTTGATTGAAAGTGGTGTGTCAGATGATGACGATGGCATTTCTGTGGTAATAATAATGATGGCATTGATGATGATGATGATGATGATGATGATGATGATGATGATGATGATGATGATGATGATGACGACGATGATGATGATGATGGTGACGATGACGATGACGATGACCACGGTTGTGGTGATACTGTTTGTGGTGATGACGAAAATGATGATGTTGATGATGATTATGATTGCTGTGAGGATGGTGATGATGAGAATGAGGGTGGGCATTCAGATTTGGACGACGTGCGATTCCGACTCCGACTGCGATTACGCCACGATTTACACGCCCCACGATTACTCCGTGGCGTGGAGGAGGAGGAGGAAAAGAGGAGGAACACCAGGGGGAGACACATCAGCGATCGAGGTGGGGGAGATTCAGGACCGAGGGCCGAGGAGGAGGAGGAGAATAATGAGGATCGAGGATGGAGGATCGAGGATCGAGTCGCATGAAGAGGAGGAGGAGCAGAAGGAGGAGGAGCAGAAGGAGGAGGTAGGAGGAGGAGGAGGAGGAGGAGGAGGAGGAGGAGGAGGAGGAGGAGGTAGGAGGTAGCAGGTAGGAGGCAGGACGTAGGAGGCAGGATGTAGAAGGAGGAGGAAGCGGAGGAGGACGAGGAGGAGGAGGAGGGCAGAGAAGCGAACCCGCGCAAGAGGACGACTGCCTCACACGAGAGTGCTGCCTCATCGCAAAGCGGGTGCCCTCCGCCCCCACACGCCACACGGGAACACCTCCCTCCCCCCGTGCAGGGGAGGCCGCCCGCCCATCGGCGAGGAGCTCACGCAGCACGGTCGAGGTACAGGTCAGCGCCTTGTCGCCCCGCGACTCGCTACTCACACGTGGTGGCGGCGAGAAGGGGGAGGGAGAAGGGAGGAGGGAGGAGGGATGAGGGAGGAGGAGGTAGGAGGGAGGCCGGACATGTCCTGAGACATGTTGGTAACCGCAGTCGGCGGGATCCGCGCGCCGCACGACGGGGGCCGCTCGCCCGCTCCACGGGCGAACGGCAGCCGCCCCCACGGCGCGCCAGCGGTGAGTGCAGGGCCGTGGCGCCGCCGAACGGCAGGGCTGGGGCTCAGAGGGGGGGGGGCCGAGCCTACCCTCGAGTGTCTGATTCAGAAACCTCCTCCCGAGAAGCTGTGCCAGCGTTTCTTGACCAGTCTGCGGGCAAGCTGGCCCGGTTTCTTGAGCGCGTTGGCGCCTCCAGCCTGAACGACAGAAGTTGGCACAGGCTTGTTTTCAGAAGCTCCCGGGAAACCGCACCCAGAGTCCTGCTCGATCTCAAGTTCGGCTGAGGAGGTTGACCAGCACCTCCGCGACGAGCCCCGCGCCGAGCTCGTCGGGCACCAGGTGCCCCTCGTCCAAGTCGAGCTGCTCCCGCGGGCAGACTTGCCGGACCGCGCTCTTGGCAGCGCTCGAAAAATGACCGCGGCGCCGTGCGCCATGCCGTCGCGGCACGGCTCGCACGGGACACGCGCCGTCGCTGTCTTGCCGCGGTGGCGGCGCCTCGCGCGCGTGGGGCCGCGGGGGCAGGCACGCCGGGCACGGACCGCCCTTCACCGCGCCGAGGATCTCCGAGGTGGACCTCCTCGGCTTCGAGCTTCGACCCCGAGATATTCGGCGGCGGGAAGTGCGAAGCGGGAGGCCCTCTCAGGAGGCGGTTGGACTTCTCAGCGGCTGTCGCGCCCCCTGAGAGGTGTTCTACGTCTTCGGGGAAGGCGCGCTGGCAA